TGCAGGCCACTGAACTCCTCATCATGGTTGCACGTTTCTGTGAATTTCCTCAGATTGGTGACCTGGTCAAAACACTTAACATCATCAACTGCCACCCCCTTCTCTCCAAGGTAATTAATGCATGCCTCCACATCATTCCAGTTTGGTGGCTCACTCAGATCCATCCACATGAATGTTGAGAACTCTTCCTGGATCATGGACTTCCTCTCCAGTCACCCCCAGTCACCCCCAGGCTGTCTAACTGGGCTCCCACTTCTCCACCATCATCGTACTCAGCACCGGCTCACATCACAAAGACTGCAGAAAAAAATTACTGACTGAACAGTCGCATTCTCTCCAGAGCCTAGAACATCATCTCAGACTGCTACCACCCCTTTGAACTGTTAACTTCTGACAGACATTATCATGCCATCAAATCCAGAGCTAACAGATTCAAAAACAGTTCGTTTCCATTTGCAGTTACCTGCCTTAACAAACATAAAGTCTGAAAAACATATATTTCTAAATAGCACTTGATTTCAGCACCTTATCCTGCATTTTGTCTGCACTTTGAGATGGAATTCTTGTAGCCATATTTATAGCATGTGTTGTATGTGTACTTTGTAAGGATGTATGTATTTATTTTATCTATTTATTATATCTAAATTTCGCTGTACTACCAAGTATAGTGTGTGAGAGAAAAATTGACTAGAGAGATATTTTTCTATACAGCTTTAGAATATATTTTTATATTAAAAGCTGTTGTGTCTTGCACTTGCCTAAATGAGAATTAATTCCCAGAGCAAAAGGTTCGAACAATAGGTTCCTTTATTAGTTTTGCAATACGCTAAAAACATGGTAACAATTCAACTAGTGCTCTCTTCTCGGCACCCCGTTCTCACTCTGTTGGCGGGCAAATCTATATACCACCCCATTTCAGCCAATTACCAAACAGGTCAGAGGTCAACCAATTAAGTTTTCAATTAAAAAATTCCCCCTTTTTTTGTCGTGTGTGTGTGTGCGCAAATACACCACAAAAGCAATGGTACCTGTGTGTTACACAGCAAACACCCAAGAATAAGCTAAAGAGAATTAAGAGTTAACTTCAGTATTATAAACATGTATTAGAACAGGGGTCTCCAACTCCGGTCCTGGAGAGCTATTAGAACTTTGTGCTTGTTAGATTTCACAGAAATGCCGGCCTGAGAACACAGGTGTGAGTTTGGAGCTCGCTTGTCAGAAAGGGCAGGAAAACCACAAGGTCATGCAAAGTGCAGACGCTCCAGGCCTGCAGCATGCAGATTATATGAAGTATATACATGCTTGCAAGATGCAAACTGCATAAAGTGCATGTGTTGCAAAGTGCATGTCCTACCCTAACCAGTCTGATCTGGTTCTGAGGAGGGGGCGCGAACTGTCAGTGTTCCCCTATAAAGGTTAGGTTGACCAGAACGTTCTTTGAGCATTACCACGGACATATCATTGAAGTGGTTGTTCCTTTGAGCTCAACAATAAACGATGACATATTTCAAAGCACCGACTAAGTGTCATAAATTTCTACAAGTGACAATAAAGACATTCTACAGTGGTGTGTTATTTTATACTGCAGGAGCACTGTGTCATTATCTGAGAGTGAAATGTTTATGTGTAACCAGTCCTGTGTGGATCTCAAAGCTGTGAAGTTTCTGTTCTGCTCATGGAGCCAGCAGGCTATTGTGTGTGGCTCATGTATGTCGCAAGATGTGGTTCCGCTCTGGTTTCTTTTTCTGCTTTCGGTTCATCATTGCAGCTACATCCATACTAAACAGACATTGCTGTACTAAATAATAAGCTGATATAAAAATATTTAAACTACTCCTCATTAATGACAAACTAAAGTCAACAATGTGTCAAATTGCAAATCTTGTAAACAAACACAGATTCTGGCAAAAGTATTGGGACACCCCTCCAAATCATTGAATTCAGGTGTTCCAATCACTTCCATAGCCACAGGTGTATAAAATCAAGCACCTAGGCATGCAGACTGCTTCTACAAACATTTGTGAAAGTATGGGTCACTCTCAGGAGCACAGTGAATTCAAGCGTGGTACCGTGATAAGATGTCACCTGTGCAATAAGTCCGTTTGTGAAATTTCCTCACTACTAAATATTCCACAGTCAACTGTTAGCGGTATTATAACGAAGTGGAAGGAATTGGGAACAACATCAACTCAGCCACAAAGTGGTACGCCACGTAAAATCACAGAGCGGGGCAGTACATGCTGAGGCACACAGTGTACAGAAGTTGCCAACTGTCTGCAGAGTCAATAGCTGCAGACCTCCAAACTTCATGTGGCCTTCAGATTAGTTCAAGGACAGTGATGTTGGAACAGTTTGGGGATGGTCCCTTCCTGTTGCAACATCACTGCACACCAGTGCACAAAACAAGGGCGTGGATGAGCGAGTCTGGTGTAGAAGAACTTGATTAGCCTGCATAGAGCCCTGACCTCAACCCTATAGAACACCTTTGGGATGAATTAGAGCGGAGACCCTGAGCCAGGCCTTCTCATCCAACATCAGTGCCTGACCTCATAAATGCTCTCCTGGAAGAATGGTCAAAAATTCCCATAAACACAATCCTAAACCTTGTGGACAGCCATCACAGACAGGTTAAAGCTATTATAATTGTAATTTGTAAAGGGTGGGCCAACTCTATATTAAAGCTTATGTATTAAGAATGGTTTCTTTACAAGAAGATACAGTTAATATTTTGTATAATTTGCAGACAGGGTAGCTGAGTGGGTTCACCTATCCCATTGCTGATGCACCACGCCACCATCGAAGAAATGACGAAGTCACAGCATACTGGACTGACAATCCTCGTGCCAGTCTTTGTTTGTGTTTCTTGGTTTCGTACAGATATGCCGACCAGATGCCTTTTACATGCCTACTAGCATGCTTGGCTTGTACCTCTTGAAGGAGAACGAAGAAGGCATGCTGGTGTGATACAAAATTGGGATATTGTATCAAAGGTGAGAGTGTGGAAGACAAATCAATATTATGCAAATTATATATCAATGCAATAAGTAATAATGAAACTTATGTTACCATTTATGTTATAACTCTTAATTGTAATTACTGATCGACTTTTCCCCAAAAGAAATAATGGGGCCCCCAAATAATTACACCGAAATATGTTTTTT